GGCAGCATGATCTAGAAAGATGTATGATAAGAGGAGAAATTAACAAGAAAACCAATGTCTGTGGGTTTCAAATACTCGTCTCTACATAACTTATTACCTTTGCAATAAATTTTCCTTTTTTAACTCCATAGTAAGCTCAGTATTAGCATCTATTTTATTTATTAGTTCAAGGAATTCACCCAAACTATCTTTGTCGTAGATATGAAGACTAAGATGGTGATGGTGCTTTTGGTATGGTCAAAGTCTCCTCTCGAAGTATAGAAATGAGTTATCCCAGTTTTTGCAACTTGATCGTGTTTTCAGAGCGAATTATTTGGATGCACCTTGTCCGAAGTCCTCTGTTATAGTAGGTATCATAACTCCTAGCATCAGACCATGAACTTGGTACATTCTAAGACATTTAGCCGGCATTTTAGTCGGCATCATCAGTTAATGTTGCCATTCTCCACACCGAGCCACAAACTCGTCAAAGGGACAAGTGAAGTCAATTCCTCGATTAACATTCTGCCGAAAAGGTTACACTATCACTACTCTTTCTATCATAGTCCATCTATCTATTCCTTACCTGCTTATCCAACTCCCGCCCTATCAAACCAGTCGTCAAATAATTTGCCCTTATTGACAAGTTTAGTGTGGCCTCCACTCTTTCGATCGGCAAATCCAATTCGGGCCGCATGTCTGGATCTCTCTTATGGGCCCATAGATCCGTTTCTTATCTTTTGGTTGACCAATTTCACTCATTGATGATGCTGACTACGATGCCAGTCGAAAGTCTGGGAATGTACCAAGTCCAGGGTCTGAGGTTGGGAAATATGATATCGACTATGGCAGAGGACTTCGGACAAAGTGCGTTCAATTGAGTCGCCTTGACAACAAGACCAAGTTGCAAAAACGAGGTCAACCCACTTTAAACTTTATAAAGTCATAAGAGCATCTTATCTAAAACTTCCAAGTACAAGTAAATCATGATAATTTACACATCACGCTACCACTATTATTTACAATAGTCCTAAGCGGTATATTTTCCTTAAGAATCTGAGCTCGCAGAATGCATGGCTAATAGAGAACTTTGTTAGGGGGACCTTAATTTCGTATGAAAGTGCATGAAGAAGAGATTTGTTGGTCGATCTCACCAAATGAGGACGCATAAATATGCAATCTTATGCTTTGATGTGAAGTTACCGCAACTCGCCCAACAGGTTTTTCATCAGTCTTCGTATTATAGATACGAAGAGAAACTTGGTTTCGATCAATCTCCTGAGATAACATTGTTAGGGAGATCTTCATTTCGTTTAAAAGTGCATGAAGAAAAGATTCGTTGGTCGATCTCATCAGATGACGACGGATGAATCTGCAATCTTATGCTTTGATGTGAAGTCACCGCAACTCGCCCAACAGGTTTTTGACCAGTCTTCGTATTATAGATATGAAGAGAAACTTGGTTTCGATGAATCACCTGAGATAATATTGTTAGGCGCAAACATGATTTAGCATAAGCTAATCGGGCACTCGTTGATTTGTGTAGGGAAACAACTGCCACTGAACGCACTGCCGGTTTGGGCAGTAACTCCACTCATTTGCGTTCATGTAGAGTGACGTTGAAGTGGCCAACAAATCATAGAATAGAAGTTGTTTGATCTTGTTTTCGCAACTCTGTCAAATTGGTAGGAAGTCTTAGAGGAACGCACCTCGTCCGGAGTCCATTGTATGCATCATCATTTCCAGAGTAGGTCCGTGGACATGGTACATTCCCAGACGTCAAAGAGACGAGTTGACGAGTTGTAATATGGTGCTACGAATGGCAAAACTAACTGGCGATGCCGGCGAAACGTCTGGGAGTGTACCACATCCACGGTCCTACTCTGGAAATAATGATGCATACAATGGACTACAGACGAGATGCGTTCCTCTAAGTCTTCCTACCAATATGACCGAGTTGCTAAAACAAGTCAAACAACTTCTATACAACGAAAGGAGACTGCAATCACACAAAAGGCCACACCATCTTGGTCTTCATACCTTCGATTAAATCATAGAATGCCTCACTATAAATGCCAAGTTAGGTGTATAAAACACACGACTAGGTCTGCAGATGGACACCTTTTTTTCTTAGTTTACTATAGTTGTGCTCTATTTCGTGAAGTACAGATTCCTGCTCTCATGATGTCTGTCACAGAACAGACGAAAGCTTAGTACCGTTTCGTCAGAGTTGCAGGACGGTGAGCCGACAAATTCTCCGCACAATACAACAGTCTTCCATTTGCGGCAATCCTCTTTTCCTTTCAGGTGGGACGACATGACGAATTCCTTCCAACCAACTTTTCATTCGAGATGCAACGTAATGTAACAATTTTCGAATTACACTCTGCTCTGATGATGCCAGTCATACGACGGACCTAAGCTTATCACGTTTTCATCGAAAATAGAGATTTTCTCGGAATCATCGGCAACAAGAATGCTCCATTAAAGTCAATCTACATCTGGTTAAGAGTAGTCTGATTATAGTAGTCTTATCAACTCTTTTACTCGAATGGGAATTAAACTCAACAATAATGAACCATGCGATTTCTCTAAACCTATTAACCCTATGCCGATGATGTCTGTCGAGATGCATTATAGACTAAAGCCCAACACGTCTTCGTCGGACTTGAATGAGATTGCCTCAAAAATATCACCAACATAAGGTCCCACCCAGGCCAAACGACAGTCGGCCAATAGGAAGTTACCGCCTTCTGTTGATAGAATCTACCTTCGAATCCCGTCATTGCCTACTTTCCCTTTAAATGGAATTGAGTTCAATAAATGGTTGAAGCAAGTGCTTCTTCGATGGTCAACTCTTCTTAACATATTCTTTATTATTGGCTCAAGGAGAGGCACCTTCGTAAGGAGAAAAAAGTCCGTGGGAACGGAACCACGCGAAATAGTCCAATCTTTTGGTTGTCATGATGGAAGCAAACTTTGTTTTGTGGCAAATTTGCCTCCGCAACCGGGGCAAGGCTAAAAGTGAAAGCGCATGTCTGGCGCGAAACTCACTTTGGCCTCCAAAGCCTGGCGTGCATCTTCGAGACGACGGAAGTCGCGCTGCCAGTCGTCGGAGGCCTGAGCCGCGGCTCGTTCCTTCGAGCGCACCACATCCTCGAACTCGGTCAATCGGCGCTCGCTGTTAGCCAGCTCGGCTTGAATGGCGCCGCGGGACGTTTCCATTTCGAGGATGCGCTGTTTAAGATTGAGATTCTCCCTGGACAGTCGAGCAGATGAGACCGAGATTCGACATGGGGCAGAGAGGATCAAGGGGAGTGGAGGTGGGCAATTTTAAGACCGGTGCATTACGTAATCCGAACAGGTAAGGATACGTCAAACTACGACACCGAGGTACTGAAGGTGTCAGAAAAATCAAATTACACCAAAAAACAGTAAGCGCGCCTTTGTCTTCGTTAGGAAATAAAATTATTTCCACATAGACCATTTAAGGTACTATCAATAAAATCACTATGCATTGGCTAATACCGTGTTTAACTAAGGCACTGAGAAATGGGATACATTATTTAAAATTAAAACTACACTTAAAAGATCTTGTACGAATCTCT